TTTCTTTGTCCAGATAACACCTGGGGGCTGTGCAGTCTTGCCTATGTGTAGCGCTTGGTTTCTGAGCCAGGCCAGCTCTCCCCACCCAAATGACAGCCAAGGTGATTAAAGTCACTTGCCACTGCAATTGATAGAAGGGACTGACCTGTGAGTCAGCTCTGGCAAAAGCTGAAGTACTCGGTGCTTTGAAGTGTCAGCACTTCGTGCCACACAAGACCCACCATGCAAATTGTTTCTAAAAATGTTGGTTAGATATCCTCCTGAGGAGACAGCAGCCCTGCTGAACAGTGCAGCACTACTGCTATTAGGAAATGGCACACAACACAGACCTTTGCTGAACAGAAAAAGGTGTTGTGTGCTTGTGCATAATGCATTTATTTGTTCTTGTCCCCAGAGTTCCCAAATTAACTTGGCTGGGAATTTAGCTTCTGACTTTCATCAGTGTACTTTTTAAAAGATAGGTAAAATGTATATAGCACTGGCTTGGTATTCAGCTAGAAGTCCTTTTACTTTTCTAACAGCCACCACACAGGCAGTGACAAGGCAAGCTTCCTCTGTTTATAAGCTGTTAGGGACCAGAAATGTTGTTCCATTTTCAGTCAGCAAATCTTGCTGTTCAGTTGGAGCATGGGCTGCATGCTGAGGAAGCTATTGAGAGGGTCAGCTGTGATACTGCTTTCTAGGACTTCGAGAGATGGGCAGTAGGACTGACCTGAGAACAACATCATCAAAAACGTCTGTATCCAGTACAGATACCTGCAATTGTGTCAGCACCCATGTTCTGACTGTCATTTTTTGTTTGTTTGTATTAAGCTTTGTTGTGTATTCAAACTAGTAACTGGTAAAGGAATTGTTCAGTCTAGAATCAAACTGTCAAATATATGTCCCATCGCTATATCAATAAAATGGGGTGCAGCCATGCCTCTTAATATCCCAGCTCAGTTTGTTCTCAGTAGCAAAAGAAGAGCTTTCCAAAGAAATTCAAGTGCTGCAGGAGATGACTTTAGCTATCTGTACGCCACCCACCAGCCCCAGGTGGCCAGGTATGAATGAGTGGTCTACTTCACTGTCATCTCATGTCTCTGAGCAGAGCCACTCAGGCAAAGCAGCGCGGGTGAAATTCTTCCTGCACAGTACAGCATTTTCCTAACTTTACTCCCCTTGGGGACAGGCTTTTGCACGGAATTTGGGAGTTCAGAAGCCTGGTTAATATGAACCATGATGTTAGCACTCAGGAGCAGGCTGACAGTCAGGAACACGTGAAATGATTCAATCTTAGTTAATCTCTGTCACCTCTTTTTTATGTGGCCACCAGGCAGCTCACAGTCTCGCATTCCCTGTCCAATTTAGCTTTGTGAGAATCACTTATAGCTGTGTTGTTCGATTTCATTCAAGCATCTTTGTTAATGGGCTTTCCCATTGACACCAGTTCCCAGGGGTGCACGGTGCTTGGCACGCCTGCCCATGTGTGCACGTGGGCACTGGCACATGAGCATGTGTGTGCACTCACAGACGTGCTTTGCTGCAGCTGCAGAATTAGAGCAAAAATGTCGATGGTACAAAGTGTTCCATCTGACTTCATT